GGACCTCAGAGCACAGCAGTGGAGTTGCTGTCGTTTGTACTGGTTTCAGTTTCTAATTTCAAAACCGTGAGGCTCAGAGGCCTGGGGGAATTGTTTCCCATTTTGCTTTGTCTTTCCCCAGGACTTTGCCTGCATTCTTAAGTGAATTCTCACAAAGGGTGGTGGAACTTCAGCACGGGAATGAAAATCATTATCCCTATGTTCTAAACAGGAGATTTGCACTGTGGCATATTTCCGTAAATACAGTGCCCAGCATCTGTAGCGAATCATCCCCAGCCATGATACTCTTGCTGTTCTGACTTAGACATGTTTCCCAACCAATTTTACTAAATCATAAAAAAAAAAATAATATTTATGAGCCTGCTTGCAAGTGCCAGGCATTCTGCAAATCACTATGAATTATCTTATCTAATTCTCATATCACGCCAATGGTTGGGGGGGTCCCCATTTTGCAGATGAGAAAAACAAGCCACAGCCTGAGCCCCAGTGGGTCTCTATCCAAGCACAAGCTCTTTACCACCCACATAATATGGCCTCATAAAATTTGAGCAATTTGATGGGCACCCCATGGACTCCGTCACCACATCTAGCACAAAGGGAGAGCTGCAGTGATCAACCCTGTGAATTCAGGCAAAAGCAGAGGTATTGTTTTCGTAATTGGTGAAACAAGCTCTGCCTTTAGCTCTGCTTTCACCAGGTGAAGTAACCTTGAAGAAATTGTCAGGCCTTTGATTATATCCTTTTAGTAAATTGCAGGCATGCTTTACCTTATGTTTATGAAGAACAATTCTATATAAATGAAATTGTTGGAATTTGAATGTAGTAGAGGGTTAAATAAAGAACTCTTCCCAATTTATATGGTGTGAAATTCTAGCTTTTCTTTAACTGTATTCTCAGAATCATAGCTGGAAATAATCAGGAAAGTTTATGTGGCCACAAATGTTCATTGAGAAATGCTGTTTCCTTAAAGCAGATGTCTTTCCTACTTCCCTGGTTACCTTCAGAACTACCCAATCAGGATAATCGTCTTTGTTACCTTGCTTATGCCTCATGTGGTGAAGTGGTGGACATTTCTGGGGTTCTTTAAAATACACTCAACCCTTTCAGATCATCTTAGGACACCTCATCGTATTTGAGGAATACAGAGATGGTGACTCGTTGGTGCACCCACCTCCTGGAAAGCAGTGGGTCGGGGAAAGGAAGAGACAAGTAGGTCATGTTGCATCTCTGGAAAGCCCATGTGGAGTCTGGGTCAAATTTCTAATATGTATGTATATATATTTTTTGAGACAGGGTCTCACCCTGTGAGACTAGGCTGGAGTGTAGTGGTGTGATCATGGCTTATTGCAGTGTCAACCTCCCTGGGCTCAGGTGATCCTCCCACCTCTGCCTCCTGAATAGCTGGGACCACAGGTGCACACCACCATGCCCAGCCAATTTTTGTACTTTTGTAGAAACAGGGTTTCACCACTTTGCCCAAGCTTGTCTCAAATTCCTAGGCTCACCTGTGTCTTGGCCTCCCAAAGTGCTGGGATTAGAGGCATGAGCCACTGGGCCAGGCCAATGTTGCTAATTTTATTTAAACTTTCCTACATGTGGGAAACTAGGTAAGATGAAGACACCTTTTTTCTTCTTCTTTCCCTTTCTTTTCTTTCTTTTCTTCATTTCTCCTTCCTTTTTTCTTTCCTTCTTTCCTCTCTTTCTCTCTTCCTTCCTTCCTTTCATTCTTTCATTTTTTCTTTTTTTTCTTGTCTGTCTGTCTCACTTTATTGTGCAGGCTAGAGTACAGTGGTATGACACTGCAGCCTTGAACTCCTGGGTAGAAACAACCCTCCCACCTCAGCCTCCCCTGTAACTGGGACTACAGGCATGCACCATCATGCCTGGCTGACTTAAAATTTTTTTTTGAGAGACAAGGTCTCACCGTGTTGCCAGGCTGGTCTTGAACTCCTGGCCTCAAGTGATCCTCCCCCTCAGTCCTCCCGAAGCACTGGGATTACAGGTGTGAACCACAACATTCAGCCAAGATAAGGAAATCTGATGCTTTGGCCACATACATGAAGCTCTCTAGAGAAGTTTGGGGAGAAGTAAAGGAGTCCTGCATGATGACCAACCTCTCAGAGATTAATATATGGACTTTTCCATAAATATGTATAATAAAAGGTAAAACATAAACAGTATGCAGAAAATAATAGAGATGTTTGAATGATGCAAAAACATTGGGTTGAAAAATGCTTTATGGCAATGGTGGCATCTCAGACAAGCTTTTTAGGAGGAACAGGACTTTGTCAGATATCATTGTAAGTATGTATGTCAAGAGAGCAGAGCAAAGAACCACATGAATGAAGACATGGAACTGGGAATGCCGAATAATATAATTTGAAAACATTGAACAGCTTTGGTTTGGTTAGTCAAATACACATGGGAAATAGAGCTGAAATATGCCATAACAGAAAAGTCCCTAAATCCAAGGCCTTGAAGTTTGAATTTAATTGAATTCTCAATGAGAACTCATTACTAATAATAGTTTTGTCTTCTTTTGTACCTTTCCCCCTTTGTTTTCAGGGGATGAGGTGGCCTTGTAAGTTATAGAGACTAGAGGAAACTTAACAAGCTTCAAATTTAACTCTTGATCTCGTCTGTCTCTTAAAAAAACAATTAATCCAACAAGATACTTCCCTGCTATTCTCTATCTCAATAAATGGCACTCCCAGCAACCCATTGCTCACCCCTCTACCCTTCCATTTGCTTCAACCCTACCTTGACTGAATCAGCAAGACCTGTTTGTTACATCTGCAAAATATATCCCAGCTCCATCTAGTACTCTCTTGCTCCTCGGATACCACTCTAGCCCAGAGTGCCCTATTTTGAGAAAAGAATGGTAGTGGAAAGGACATACTTGCCATTTGGCCACAGATCCATCTACTTCAAAAGGGGTGAAGGGTAACCTCATAATAGCAAACAAGTTATAAAGTAGTTATTGGAGAGAGGACAAAAAAGCTTGCAAAGAAAGGAAAAAAATTGGAAAAAATGAATGTTTTAAATGATTATTTGATTGGATTTATAGAATTTGTTCTAGTTGTCTCAAGGTAAGATTTGGGTTTTTGTTTGTTTTTTGTTGTTGTTTTTGAGGTGGTGTCTCACTCTATTGCCCAGGCTGGAATGCAGGTGGCATGATCTCAGCTCACTGCAACCTCTGCCTCCTGGGTTCAAGAGATCCCCCTGCCTCTGTCTCCCAAGTAGCTGGGATTACACGTGCATGCCACCACCCCCAGCTAATTTTTTTGTATTTTTAGTAGAGATGGGGATTTACTGTGTTAGCCAGGATGGTCTTGATCTCCGGACCTCGTGATCTGCCCACCTCAGCCTCCCATAGTGCTGAGATTACAGGTGTGAGCCACCTCACCCGGATTTCTTTTGTTTTGTTTTCAGTAAGTTAAGTCATTTTAAAGAAATTAGTCTTTGCATCCCAATGGACAGGATTTTCTAGATAGCCTTGGAATGGTTGTCAGAATAGCTAATAGCAGATATTCTATATAGCTCTATTAAAAACTCTTAGAAAGAAACCATGTCAATAGATAGAGCCTGACTTTAGGTACTCTGGTCCTGTGATCTACCATCCCTGTATCATGACAAATCCCTAGATACCTCTGAGAATGTAGGTGATTTTGACCTTGACTCAGAAAATGACGAAGCATTCCGTCAAATTGTGCTTTTATTTTTAGCACCACTTTATAGTCCCCGGAGTTGTCTAGTTGCAGTTTAGTTGGCAATATTGCAAATGAAAAGTTTCAGATAACTAATTTCAGAGAACAATTAAGTGGTGTCTTTTGCATTGTCTGTATTTCTGTACTGACATGTTTATTATTTTGCCTGCAATAATTGTTCCAAAACCCTAGTTTAAGTATGCCAAATTATTGGATAGGAATTTGCCAATGTAAATGAAGATCTCCTTCACAACCTTCTTCTTCCAAGATGCCTTACCTGTGTGTTTATAAATTCATCTAAGATGTGTAGTATGTATTTCTCCATATCATTTGTGAACAAGGTGGCATGATATCTTTATGGTGAAAATCCAGGACTTAATTAATAGGCTTTTGAACAAGAACGTATCTAATATTCGGCCATAGTCAAAAGATAAAAGTGATCATGACTCAGCTCTAGCTTTGTAGAAGAGAAGACTTTCTTTCCCCCGTGTGTGCTGCATCTGACAAGCACATAGGAACCTTGGGGAGATATCTCTTGCCTGGGTTAACTAACTTTTGTGATGGTGATCTATGAATTAGTGTGGTTTCCATGTAGCCAAATCATAACTATCTAATAAGGTAGGTAATTTTTTTAAGTCAAGTCACCTCAGACTTGATTATCAGAAGGTATTCTATTACAAATTTTAGATAGTGTATCTGAAGTAAATTATAAAAAATATTTCCCACGTGTTAGTAGAGGATTCACAGGAAGGTTAGGTGAATGGGAAGCATGAAGGACAGACAGGGTTCTCCCTGGGCTTAGTTCTCGTGTTGGGGTGCATGTGTCACCCTGGCCAATCACCAGGTTGCTAGTTCTAGACAACTTGGATGCCTGAGAATTTCTGCGATGTCTTTTTCAAGCTCTACTTTTGGAGTATGAACCTGAAGAGGGTCGTGCCCTTAATTCCGTGGGACTAATCCTCAAGTCATTTTTGCCTCTCTATCTTTGGGAGAACATAAGCAGAATATTTTATCTATCCTAGGTCGAGATTTTTCTGGATCTCTAGAAGAAAAATTGAAAGATTATGCATTACCCTGTTCCTCAAGAGAGGTGTAGAATGAACTAATTATTTTTGTTGGCTTGTTTATTATTTCTGTTTTTTCTTTTTTCCCTCCCTGGAATTTGGACAAACAGTAATTGACAAGGGGTGTGCACAGTTGATACCCAAGTGCATAGCACAGTGCCTGGTCCATAGGAGGAGCTGAGCAAATATGTGTTCCTGAGTAAGTCTAATTCTAAATTTCTCTTCACAGCAAGTGAAAAACAGATGGTGGTGGTATGCAAGGAGTCTCCGAAGGAGTATCTCCAGCCTTTCAAAGACAAACTAGAGGAGTTCTTCCAGAAAGGTAGGAAGCTTTGTCAGCAGCACATACACACAGCCCTGATTCTTCATTCCATGAAGCTTTCTCTGAGGCTCACAGCCCTTGCATCCTGGCTGACCACAGGCAGCTCTGGTGATTTCATTAGTCCATCTTTCCATGGTGGTTACATACTCAAAGTAGATGGAGTTGTCCTATAGCTTGTTTATCAACTTTCAAATCCATTTTAATGTTTTAAATCCTTTAATGTTACTCTGGCTTTTTAATAAACTCTATGAGGACAAACTTTTTTGTCTCTTCATGGAGCTTAAGGGATTTCTCAGCCCATGTTGACCGATAAATGATGTATGTGCAAGGCAGATGCAGTCATGTGTTCAGATTTGTGGTCAGCCTGGACAGGTGGATGGTGATCACCTTCCTGATTTTATGAGTGTAGCAACTTGGAAACTTGTGTTATATTTTCCATTCCTTTTCAGATAGGAAAATGAAGGCCAAGTGAATGTCACATATCAATCATTGCTACCTGTCAGCCCTCTGAAGTTAGTCTGTGGAAGTGATATGCATGAGACTCGGCACTTATTGTGAAATCTTAACAGATTTTCATCCTTCACAGTTATGGCCTGAGTATGGAAGTTTTGTTGATTGGGGTTAGTGAACATGGAAGTTATCATATCGTTTAGATAATTTCTATTCTAATTTCTCAAATTCAACTTAAGATGTAAACAAAAATAAATGCAGGGTTGTTGAAGGTAGCTTTTTTCCTTGCTGGAAAGCTAGAGGAAAGGCACATAGGAGTCTTTGGGGATATCACAACATGCTTTTTCTATTACTGAGTAAGGCCACATGGGACCACACCATCAACAAAAGACTGTTAAGCAGGGTGAATGCATAAAGTGTGGCCAAACTAGCTTGAGAACTGGCAGGGAAATTCTCAGTCTATGAGTCAGAGGAACTCCATTCCAGCTGCTACTCCCTTGGTGCAGAGACCATTGCTGCCTTCTCCATGATGAAAGGTTGTCCTGTAGTGAAGTAGGAGAAGTCAGGTTTCTCTCTCAGCCATTACAGAACCTCACGTATGATGGAAGAAATGCTGTCAGGCAAAGAACCATCTAGAGAGCAAAGATACCAATACTTATGTGCTATGTGACTATAGGAGATGTATTTTTTGATAAGTCACTTATAAAACCCATCATTATACTGTGTAAATACAACCTAAGTAGCCTGAAGAAAAGCATGAAATACTTCCCTTTGCTGATCCAAGTTAATAGTGTCAGCTTTTTACATATGTAGAATTAACTTGAAATGAAGCTCATGTGTATTTGAATTCCGTTTTTGTTTTTAATTGCTATTCTGTTTCTAGAAATGTTGTCATGCGTATGTCGGGGTACTGTCTGCCTGCATACTGTAATGGCCTTAGAATCCCGGCTCTGCAAAGCAGCTAGCTTATATTGTGAATTTTATTCCTTTTGTTGAAAAGACATAAATATGAATATATTTAAAATCTTGAGAATCTTCTCTGGTACCTTGGAAAAGGAATTTGCAAGTACTTATTTGGGATAATGTGCCAGCCACTTCTCTACTAGAGCTTTCAAGACAATTCTGGCCTATTCAGAGAAAGGGAATTTATATGAGGGAAACTGGATCTTGTGTCAGGGAAGCAAGGGTATGGTCACAGTAAGCTATTCTAAGAAAGCCCTAGAACAGTGGTTCTCAACTCTATCATATACTAGAAACACTTAGGAGATTTTTTAAAATCTTGATACCCAGGCCCCACTCTAGACCCATCATCAACATCTCTTGGGACGGGACCAGGCATCAGATTTTTTTTTTTTTTTTTTTTTTTTACTTTCCAGGTAATTCCAGTGCGGAACCCAGATTGATAGCCACTACTGTCTAGCTTAGCTCAGCTCACCTGTTAATGTGTATTCAAAGATTTATTCTGAGCCTGCTATGTTAGGCTCTATGATAGACACTGAGAGTACTAAGATTAATTGTATACTCCTACATCCTCTCGCAAGGAGTTTCTTAGTGGGAAAATGTCTATGATTGAATACAATCAGCTCCTCTTTAACCAACAGGTGAAGTAAAATGGACATTGGGAATAACATCAAATTATGCTTAAAACAAAACCAGCCAAAACAAGACACAAAATGAATTTGAAGGAAATGTTACCATTCTGTTTAAAATTTAAGAATATAAAAATATATATACTATTGTAGGAATCTAAAACACTCCCAATATCATATGGTAGAAAAGTCTACTGTTGAAATAGCCTGTTACGATTATTTCATTACTTAACTCATTTTATCAAAAAAACAAAAAAAGTCTAGAATGTTGCTGTTCAATGCGGCAGACACTAGCCACAGGTGGCTTTTGAGCAGCTATAATGTCGCTATTGGAAACAGAGATGTGTTACTAGGGAAAAACACACACTGGGTTTTGAAGACTCAGCACAAAAAATGTATAAAATATTTTATTGTTAATTTTTTATACCGAATGCATGGTAAAGTGATAATATTTTAGATCTATTATGTTAAATAAAACATAATTAATATTAATTTATAGGTAAGTTAATAAATATGTTAATAACCTGACAAAATATATTAGCTAAATTATATTTCTTCTACTTTTTGAATGTGGCTACTAGAAAATCTTAATTATATTTGTGGTTCATAGTATGTTTCTGTCAGAAAGTGCTAGTCTAGAGGCATGGTCCATAGGCTTTCCTCAGTTCATGCCTACACTGTCTTCTCATTGTTGCTCAACCTTCTCAGCTTGAATCTTAAGTTTTTGGAATGCAGAGTTTTGCAAGCTAGCCCCCTGCCCACTCTGGGCCTGGCCCTTGTTTGGCTCTCAAGTGGGACTGCTAAACCAGAGGAAGTGACAGCATGACACTTCATCAGACTATTACCTCTGCAGTTCTGAAATGTATGGTTTAGGGTCTGTGGCTGGGTTTTTGCCAAGTTATAGTATATACAAATCGAATATTTGTATTCAATTTGTATATGCTATACAAATAAATCAAATATTTGTATATACTATATACATAGATATTATTACATAGATATTTTACTGATTCATAGAAAATGTAGGGTTTTCCATTTACCACAAATATGCACTATTCACCATGGATATTCAAATTTCTATGACAATTGTCATACAGTTTTAGTATTTCATCTAATATTCATTTATTATAGGAAATACCATTATTACATGTACTATAGAGAAAGAAAAAGTGCTGCCACAAGCCACAGCATTTAGACAATAAGATGTTCCCCAATATCAGAGGCTCTAAAATGTGAAAATTCTATCACTTTTGGAGTTGATGTAATGTGGTACTATAATTAGGGACATAGAATCAAAGAGGAAGAATGCCCACCAATTTTAGGTAAGACTTTCAGCAAAGGAGATATTTTGTTCAGACTTGAAAAAGAGCAAAATCATAATGACGACGGTGATAGTGCTAACATTTACTGAGTGCTTCTATCTGCTAGATACCATGGGGAACAGAGCACCTTATTACTTAGTCACCATGGCAATCCTTTGAAGTGAGTACTATTACCACCCTGCTATACAGATGAGGAAATTGAGGATTAGAAATTCTCAGCAGACAGGCTACAAAAGGCATTCCAGGCAGAGGAAAACACTGCAAGTCTCAGAAGGATGAAAGACATGATATGTTTGGAAAATGGCAAGTGACTTGGTGTGGCTAGATCACAAGGCATATGAGAAGAACACATGACTAAAAAGGAGATAAGAGTCATAATATGACTTGCTGAAGAATCTGAACTTTGACAGGCAGCAGCTAATATTGAAAAATAATGTGTACAGGAGTGACATGATTATGTTGGATTTGTTTGTATTGTTTTGGCTCATGCAGTTTTTTGGGGGGGATGTATCACTTTGCTTTTCATTATTGTGAAGAAATACATTATAACTAACAGTAATATCAAACAACAGACAAGTAACAGACTAGTGAAGAACTTGAGCAAAAGCAATGGCAAAGCTGAGGTAGGAGGGTCACTTGAGGCCAGGACTTTGAAACCAGCCTGGGCAACAAAGTGAATTCCCATCTCTATAAAAATTAGTTGGATGGGGTGGTGCCTGTAGTTCCAGCTACTTGGGAGGCTGCAATGAGAGGCTTGCTTGAGCCTAAGAGTTCAAGGCTACAGTGAGCTATGACCACACAGCTGTACTTCAGCCTGAGCAACAGAGACAGCACTGTCTCTAAAACAAACAAAGCAATGGCAGTAAAAATAAGAAGGAAAGGACATATTTCCAATTATCCTGTCCTGAAATGCCTAAAACAGCCTGATACTGTTTTAGGCATTTCAGGACAGGATAATTGGATGTACAAAATGAAACGAAGGAGAACAGCGTAATTCCTTTTTCTTGCTTGGATAATTGGCTGGATGCTGATGAGGAAGACTAGATTTGAGATGGAAAACAGTAAGGTCAACTTTAGACATGTTCACTTTGTACATATGAGACACAGAGGTAGAGATGCTGGGCTCATGGGAGAGAACTAGATGTGACTCTAAAGGTAGCAGTTCAAGTCATAGGAAGAAATGAGATGACCCAAAGAAAAGGGTGTAGAATGAGACAAAACCTGAAGTATCAGATATCATATAATAAATGTAACTGAGGAAAGACACTTCTATACTTCTATAGCACAGCGTATACAGAGTGTTTTGCAAGAAAGCTAATTCTCTATTAGAATTCTTATCACTCATCAAATTTTAAGCAATTGTGTTCTTTATGCCTCAGAAGTCACACGCGTTGTGACTCAGGATTATTTTTACATAAGCTGCAATTCAGCTTTAACGATCATGATGATTTAATTTTTCTTTTATAAATCATATCCTGTTGCCACCCTCAAATGGATATGATGTGCTTATCCTTATGCCTTTTATCATTCTTTTCTCAGAATGCCCTTATATGGTGTTATTTGACAAAACTGTGGCACTTTTTCTTAATGAATTTCATTTTCTGAGCAGAATTGAAAGTAATTTTAATGGCATACTTGGCAGGGTTGCAAACTCCATGATATCCATGCCTTTTTTCTTACATTTTTTTTTCCCCACAGTAAGCTCTTGTTGAAGCTGGTTTATAGCTCAGTTCGGAATAACCTTGTGCAGGCATTTTGTGAGCTCCTACTTTCCCACCCTCAGATCAAACATAGTCATAATGATATGGCCTTCAAAAACGTGATGCTCACATTAAAAGTCCCCATAAACATGGCAGGGATCCTATAATTAAAAGAAGGTGCAGAGCAACTGATTAGATCCCAGGTATAGATCTTGTAGGTGGTCTTTCCATGCTGTTAAATTGGTCATTTGTATTTATAGCTTAGGCAGGGAGGGCTGGAACCAAAACTGGCTCTAATCCCAGCACTCTCCTGCACTTGGCCTTATCTCTTTCTCCAGTAATATCACTTGGCAACCATGAATGGGGCCAGATTCTAAATGATTCTCCCTGAACCATTCTAGCCCCAGTCTGTGAAACTATTTCCTAAGTTTCTTTGACCAGCTAAGATTAGAGATATTCTTAATATCAAAAATTATTTTTGTTTACCTATGTAACAAACCTCCACGTGTACCCCCAAACCTAAGATAAAAGTTAAAAAATATCTGTTTTCTATTAAAAAAGAGAGAAATTTACCAGGCTTAAAATAAACAAAAGCAATAATTGATTTTCTACATTGAATGCAAAAAGAATTATATAAATACATGAGTAGTCCATGACGGCCAGGACTGTATCTGTTTTGTCCTGTTCACTTACTTGTCCCAACGTAATATAGGCTCAGCCTGTCCCATGATAGGCGTTAATACGTATTTTTTGAATTTATGAACAAACATCTTAAATTGTGTAAAGTACCTAGAGGCATTTTCTCCCCCTCCTTGGGTTTTATGTTTAAATCCTTTCAGAACTGCTGAATTGTCTCAGAATCTGGAGAGGTACATTTTTGGTTTATAATACATTTCTGTGGTCAGACCTCCTGGATATAGAATCATCTTTCTATGTTGGGCATATGTGTATAATCTATTCTTAGTAAATACTTAAGTCAGATTAGATTGACAAAGACCATACTTAAATCTCTAAATTGCAAAATAAGAGCAGGTTATTATGTAATCTCTTCACTTCAACCCCCAGAAATGTAGAAACAAAACTATCTGAATTACCATATTAAGCCACTAAGGTTACAGAGATAGAAAAGGTCAGTAATCTGAGCAATGTAACCTGCGAGAGGAAATAATTCTGACATTCTTTACAAAGCTTGTGGAAAGAAGAAATATGGCTGGAGAACATGCACTCTCCATGAGCCAGAATGGGTTCTTGTATACCCCACTGCTACTCAAGAAAATACCAACAGGCATGGTTCCACAGATCATCAGATAGCCAAGAATTAAGGTCATCTCTTGTGACTTCCAGATTACTTAAGTCACAGAGCAGTAATCCTTGGAAGATGAATAAAAGCTATTTGGCCAGGTGTAGTGGCACACGCCTGTAATCCCCACACTTTGGGAGGCAGAGTGGGCAGATCACCTGAGGTCAGGAGTTCGAGACACCTCGCCAATATGGTGAAACCCATCTCTACTCAAAGTACAGAAATCAGCTGGGCATGCTGGTGTGCACCTATAGTCCCAGCTACTCTGCAGGCTGAGACAGGAGAATCTCTTGAACCTGGGAAGCAGAGGTTTCAGTGAAACGAGATTATGCCACTGCATTCCAGCCTGGGCCACAGAGTAGAACTGTCTCCACAAAGAAAAAAGAAAAAATTATTTTATCAGAGGTCTATTAAGTAGGCTTTTATCTGAAAGGGTTAGAGGGTTTTGTTTTTCCAGAAATTTCTGCAAAGAGCTCATATTTTCCTCCAAAGTCAGTTTCTAATGACCATCCAGTAATGGAGCTGTGAAATTATGGTATTTCCATACAATGGAATACTAAACATCTGGGTTTTTTTTTTTTTTTAGGAAAAAAAGTCGGTATGTATTGCCATGGAAGGATCCCTAATATATGTATTTAAGTGAATAAAAGCAAGTGGTAGAAGAGTAGTTATGTTATTAGGTATATTATCTTACCATTCAGATAAAGATGAAGCAAAAAAATGAACACTGCCTAACAGTGAGAACAAATAAGAACTAACCTAAGAATGATACTCAGCTGGTCCTCACCCACCATAACACCCATACAGGTTGTCTGTTCTGCTAGTTAGTGCCTATGTTATTGTCAGATATTTAGGCTAGTACCCATAAAGCTAACTAAACAGGTTCATTGCTGTAGCAGGTAGAAAATAGATGAGGTTCATAAGTATATGCAGCTTTTTCATAAATGTGGGTGTTTTAACCAATTAATACCTCTTAAAATACTAATTTTTTTTAAAAAAACAACTTTCTATAGTACTTTGCACTTCACATTCCCTGCCCCCCTAAGATTCTGCTTCCTATTCATTGCTTCCCCATTATTGTACCAACTAGAGTCCCTTAGCCACCTGAATCTAGAATTGGAAACCAAATGGTCTTACTCACAGCCTCATTACTTCTGGTGGATGTTGGACCAGACAGCTTAAAAGGAAATCTGATGGTCCCTTATGGAGCCAGATCCATGAGCTAGTACGTTAGTTTCTTTCCTGTGACTCCATTCTTCAGCTTCGCTCTGGATAGCTCTATCCAATGGAATCCTCCCAGTCAATGAGAAAATGCAAGGAAATGTTTAAAGGCATCAAGAGCTCAAGACAGTCCAATACACACACGTGCACACACACACACGTGTAGGCACACATGCATGCATGTGCGCACACACACACACACAGACGAATCTGCTGGAGCCCCTCAGTTCTTTCTCCTTGATTTGGATTGACTTCACTTATTTTGCTTATGGTTCCATCATCACTTCAGTTTCAGGCATCACATTTTTGTGATGTTATTATTAGGTAAATAACATGAACCCTAATTCACACAATGGTCAAGAAGAGGCCACTAATATGTAGGGTGTTTTACCTATTCCTCATCTTTTTTTCCTTGTTGCCATAATCCTTTTCTTTATTTCATTTAGGCTCTTCATTACATGGGTGCTTCAATCTACACTTTGATGAACATATCAAAGTCAGAGAGTAAAGATCTTATCTCAGATTACCCGACACAGACCATCCTTTAAACCTAATCACTAAACCAAATCTCAGTCATGTATATCTTAGGATCGTTGTGAGGATCTGACCTCTTTCATGGGTTTCATGCATTTTAGGCCTTAACTCTAATTTTTTAAAGACTTTGTCTCCTGTTTTTCTGGAACTCCTGACAAGTGATCCACCCACCCCGACCTCCCAAAGTGCTGGGATTACAGGCGTGAGTCACCACCTGGCCTTGTCTCCTGTTTTAAACACTGTCTTAGAACTACATGCAAGTGGAAGAGAGAAGATAGTGGTTGGTTTTGAGATAAGATATTACTTGTAAGATAAGTATCATTAACTCATACATGGTCTCTGCTAGAGCTGCAGCAGATATTTATACACACATACTCCTACATCTTTCCAACCTTATGGAACCAGATTATTTGCTTGCCTTGATAGAACAGGGGACTGTACCTTAAACTGGTTTTTACAACTTTGAGTAAGCCCCTTAACTGTCTAAGCATTCAAATATTACTAAGGACAACATCATGATGGTGTATTGGGTAATCTCTTACTTTCCCTTTCATCATGGCAGAATCCAAGATAGTTTGATGAGACTCTAGAGCTGCCAAGAATATGAACTAATTCTTTTTTATGGATGCATAGCATTCCATCATATATATGTACCACATTTTCTTTATATAGTCTATCATTGATGGGCATTTGGGTTGGTTCCAAGTATTTGCTATTGTAAATAGTGCTGCAGTAAACATACGTGTGCATGCATCTTTATAGCAGAATGATTTATATTCCTTTGGGTATATACCCAGTAATAAGATTGCTGGGTCAAATGGTATTTCTGGTTCTAGATCCTTGAGGAATCACCACACTGCCTTCCACAATGGTTGAACTAATTTACATTCCCACTAACAGTGTAAAAGCATTTCTATTTCTCCAGAGTCTTGTCAGCATTTGTTGTTTCTTGACTTTTATTTAATAATCGCCATTCTGACTGGTGTGAGATGGTATCTCATTTTGGTTTTGATTTGCATTTCTCTAATCATCGGTGATGTTGAACTTTTTTCATGTTTGTTGGCTGCATAAATATCTTCTTTTGAGAATTATCTGTTCATATCCTTTGCACACTTTTTGATGGGGTTGTTTCTTGTAAATTTGTTTAAGTTCTTTGTAGATTCTGAATATTAGGCCTTTGTCATATGGGTAGATTGCAAAAATATTCTCCAATTCTGTAGGTTGCCTATTCACTCTGATGCTAGTTTTTTTGCTATGTAGTAGCTCTTTAGTTTAATTAGATTAAGCAATGCTTTTTGTCTACATCCATACAACTTTTATTATTTTAGTAAGAATACTTAGCATGAATTCTACCCTCTTAAATTCTTAAGTATGTAATACAGTGTTATAATAATAGGCACAATAAAATGTTATGTTTTTAAGTGTTCTGAATGTAGTAAGAGAGCATTGTGCTTGAAGTTAGAAGACCTAGGTTTGAACACTGGATTGACCACCTAACCTTTCTGTTTGATTTTGTAAAGGATTTTAAATTTCTTGGAAATTTTGTAAAGGATTTTAAATTTCTTGTCTGTAAAATGGGAATAGTAATATCTAGTACACAGTGTCACTATGAAGATGAAATTAGGTAACACACATAGGAAACCACCATATAGACTATAAAGCTTTAATAAATACAATATGTTATGTTTAAGGCATTCTTATTATCCCACTTTGACCCTCTGTGAAAAACACTAATGTATTGAAAATTTCCCTGCTGAATTTTTAGTTCTGGTGCGTGTGGGCGGGGGGCTTGGGGGGTGTGCTACTTGACTGCAATAGGTGCATGGTACTTCATTTAACTTTTGCTGCAATCCTTTGAAACTGAGTTTTTCATTCCTAACTTCAGGATAAGAAAACTTAGTCTGAGGGTCTCGGTAACTTACTCAAGGTCGTGTGAGCTCAATCCCAGTGTTGTTACTGTGCCACACTACTGACTTAGAGAACCACTTAGTTTCTCTGAGTCCCGTGACCCTATGGGTAAACAAACAGAAATAAGCATTTTTGTTTCATCATCTATAAAAGAAAAGTATCGGAATAGCAGATTTGCCTTAACTTGAGTAATACCTTGACCTCAGAGATTCCTTTTCTGAGGTCTTAATAGAGATCCTCTTTTACATTTCCCAACAATAACAAAGTTTCCATTGTAATTAGTAAGGAACTGCAGTGACAAGTATTTAAGTATTTTATGGAATCAGTATTGAGCTCTGCATCTTGCATAATTGTTGTTTTTATAATAAATTGTTTCATGTAATTATTGGTCTAGCCACCACTTTCTCTGGATTCTTGACAACTCTGGCAATGTTTTCTATCAGTGATTGATCAAAGATGCTGTCACATGACTTCTCTTTGACTTATACAGTTACTGTATTCTTCATAATAGAAGAACTTAACACCTGTATTGCCTTCTGGGAATTATTGTGCAAAATACATGTTATATAATGCATAGTTTTGTAGACAGTGTCCAATTTGGGAAAAATCTTTTCATTCTTTCAAATAATACAGGTCTGTTTCTTCTGCTGAGTTCATTTGGCCTTAAAGGAATTGTGACAGCTCTAGCAGGAAACCAGGACTAATGTGTGTGGAGCAGTTAGCACAGAACCTGGCACTATGTATATCAGCCGCTCCTGCTGTTATGTCATTTTGTCAAATCTTATCAGATGGTTCAGATACTGTGTCTCAGAAAGTTAATTACAGAAGTTTTACTTACCCAGGGGTGTGCAAATAGCTGTGGTTCCAAGTTCAAGTGGTAGATAATTATTTACTATAGAGGAAGGTCTTAACTATTAGAAAGAAACTTATGTGCATCTTTTTCATCTCCTCTAAAAATAAGCCACAGCAATGAATGAATATAAGCTGGGTTTCTCTAGGACATGACACTTTCTGTTATGAGTATACTTTGAAGATAATCATATATGTAATTAGAGTAAAAGTAGAATTAGCATAAGTTTACAAGTTACCAGATATGCATGGAGCTTTTATATAGGATTATATTTTTCACAATTAAAATATTTTAACCATTTTAAGGTATAATTATAAGGTATAATTTCAAGATATAATTATAATTTTTATAGTTACATCCTAATCATATAAGGGATGTACATAATTCCATCTAAGAGGGCAGTTCTGATAGATCACCCCTCATGGCTACCAGAATCAACAATATTACCACCTAGTGGCTGTTGAATTGAACTGCAAACACGTGATCCTTGGGATCCACAAAGACCTGGTCTCAGCAGCTAAAATGATGGAAAATGATAGTAAATGCCCCTATAATGAACAACTTTAATGGGCCTTGATAACTGTTAATCACTGTAACACTCCAACTCTGCTTTCAAACAGATTGGGAGAATAATGAGAATTTGCTTTTCCAGTTGAGAAATGGCCTTTAAAAAGTTGTAACCTGAGGCTAGAGAATGTGATTATTTGATTGCGTGATGGTTTTATTAATTTTCTGAAGTGAGAAGAAATAGATCTACCTTCCCTCCCAGTTTTTGTATTTAAATTTTCAATTACTTAGAACATTTTTTAGTGAAAATTAAAAATATGTATTTGAGTAGATCAGAACTGTTTTAAACAAAGATAAACTGGTTTTCTCATTATAGGAAATATGTGACGTTAGTTCATGTGCTTTTATAAATTTAGCAGGGCCTGGGTGCTCAACTTCTAGAAGTGAAGTGCCAGTCCAGATAGCTCATCTCAGAGTCAGGCATCAAGACCTTTACTATTTACCACTTCCCCTTTCATCTTAGCATCCACCAACTTGTTGACATGCAACTTATTCATTGAAATAACCAAACCATCTGCCCACTGAGCTCATTGCACCATCCCATTTCCTTGCTGAAATAAAATGTGGCATGAGTAATTGTAATATAGCAATTCTAGGGGAGCATAATATATTCAAGTAGGTAATGTGGAAAGCCACTAAAGAGTCTATTTGAAATTGCTCTTCTTCCCAGGAGGGCACTTTTCTCTCTTTAATATATTCCCTTTGGCTTCATAATTCTAGGATTAAGCCTAATTGCTAACATAATATATGTGCGTGATCGTCTGCTTTCTTTAGCTTAAGCTTCCTCTGGCATTGGTTTCTAGCTTGTAGTCATGATTGTGGCATTAACTGTAATTGGTCTGAGCTTCATGTGGTGAAATAGGTTCCAGCGCATTGACAGCAATTAATGGAGCTAGATAGTCCTGGATAAGATTCAAGGGGTGGGTTTTGCATCTCTTTCAAATTGTTTTCTCATTGTTTCTGTTGTAATCTCCTGGGAGACTATAATAAACAAAGATTGGCTTTAGAATTGCACAAACCCCAGTTCAAATCTCTCCCCTATCCTTCTGAGCTTGGGAAACTTAATTTCTCAAAAAAAAAAAAAAAAAAAAAAAAAAGGCTGAGGTTCCCTCATCTCAAACACAGAGATAGTAATACCACTACCATAAGGTTACTGTGGCCATCAAACTTGCTAAAAAAATGTCAGCCAGTTGACTATGGGTCTGTCTTTCATACTAGTTCAGATAAATTTTTTTCAAATTGTTACGTTTTATTAGTTTAGGGCTTTCTATGTTCTAGGCACTGTGCTGCATGTTATGAATACAATGATGAGCAAAATGAACACAGTCTCTGCCTCTGGAATGTACATTTATTATAGCCGATTGGCAATAGGAATCCACAATGCATAACCAACCACCTCAAAACTTAGTAGCTTAAAGCAATATATGCCTGTCTCAGTTCAATGAGTTGACTAGACTTAACTGGCTAGTTCTTGCTTCAGGTCTCTTGTGAGGTTGGAGTTAGATTATGGCTGAAATTGAAATCATCTGTAGGCTGCAGATTGTCAGCTTGGGTAGATGGAGGGTGGGACTTGGCTGAGCATCTCTGAGAGCCCATGCAATCACTCCACACAGCTTGTGCTTTCTCATAGCATGGCGGTGTCACAATAGTTAGCTTTCTTACATAGTTACTGGCTTTTTCCTAAGCAAATGTTCTAAGAAAAAGAAATTCGAAATTGCCTATTCTCAAACACTGGGGATGAAACATCATGTCACTGTTGTTCAAAGAAGTCACAATCCAGCCCAGTTTTAAGGGAGTCAAGCAATAGATACCACCTCTCAATTAGAGAACGGCACAAACATACAGGGAAGGAAAGAACTGATGATGGACGTCTTAGAGTCTAGCTACTGTGATGTATAATTGATCGTTCCTCAGATTGGTATCTGCTGATATCTGGACTCTTAACTAGTAGGCTCTGGCTTTTACTTGGCTTAGTCCATCAAGATTCATTAAACTGACCACTTGTGCTTGCCCTAGGAAAATGGATAGGTATAATCTCTAAGGGTCAGATAAATAGCAAAATACCAATCTGTTCTGGTTCTCATAACTTCTTCAGGACGGATGGTATTTCCAGGGAATGGGATTTTCTCACTCTCCTTAATCACTCTGTGTGTTATTACATAGGAGGAAATATACAGCTTCATAAATACTAGCCTCACAAACTCAGTTCAAAATGTGATTCGCATGTTACATGCTTACTTTAGTGCACAAGAACCATCACCTCAGCCAGAATATATTTCATAGGACTTAATATGAAGTCCCATTTGCTGCAGTTTGCGATTGCGCTTCTTCTGAGATGGAGTGATGGAATGTGTAGAAATAGTTAAAAGTCATTTCTAAATCACATTGAAAATATTTTTTTTCAACTAGTTTATGTACCAACATTATGTTCCCAAAAATATAGATAAGAAACCAGAATCTGAAATTTATGTTAAAGTTCATGGGTTTTGATTACATGTTGCAGGTGGATCAGTTTGAAATACAAGCCTTACTTTAAAATAAGTAATGAAATGATTCCCATGGATCTATGAGACTTCTCCAGGGACATACTACATATACTCTGAGATTAAAATACTATGTGTTTTGTCTCTATGTATTTTTCAAACATACTAAATGGACAACATCCAAGAGGCATCAAAGAAGGAATAAGCTAGAAAAGTAGCCTACATTGTTTCCCACGAACTGTGATGATCCAATCCAAGATCAATGAGCTGTCAGGGAAAAGAGGGAGAAGTTCCCAGCAAAAATGTCTCAAGTAATAGTGAAAGGGATCAAGAAAACCACTGGCTGGATAAACTGTGATAGATGTCGGTGATTTGTTTTTTTAAATGTTTCTGCATGGAAGTCCCTTTCTGTATAATACACACCTTTTGTACTGTGTGACACTCCTGTGTCTATCTTCCAAACACTGGGGAGGGTGGAGCGAGCAACTCTCTTCTTTAAACAATAATTTCTCCCAATTTAGAAATGTAACCAGTGTGTGCACATTTTCTTTTTGGTATTTCAGTTGTTCACAGTTACAGTCCACTCAATGTTCTGTATGACTGGGGCATGGTGACCCATTGGCACAGCTTTCTCTCATGTTTGTACCATTTCCATACCCTTCCCTCCCTCCTGGACACCTGTGCTAATCATCCAAGGACTGCCTCCTGCCCACATGACTGCCTGTACCCATCTTTGCCTCCTTGGCACTGAATGAAATAGCCAAGCTTCTGAGATCCCTGGTACTTGTCTGTGTGTGGAATCCCACATGCCCTAAAATGCCTTTCACACTGTTTTTTGAAGCAAAGTGATTTTGGTCATTTGTATGCTGTTATATGCAGACATAAGAGGTTTTAGCCATGCTGTTGGGTCCTCGGTAGTATCTTGAATGTGCTGATAACAGATGATTACAATCCTCTCAGTAGTGATATGGGAAAAAACAGAGCTGCCTGCAGCTAGATATTCAAATAATATCATATTGTGGCTCCTCCAGAGAATAAGGTCATCCTGGAGGTGACTTAGTTCTCAGTTCTCTCCAAAAAACAGCCATTTCTTCCTCCAGCTTTCTCTGCCCTCTCCCCACCACAGTCCCTTCAGTCTGATTAAATCTGAGCCAAACAGTTGCTCACTAAGGGCTAAAACACAGCAATGACAAGAGGAGGCCAGGTTAATGGGTGAGCAGTGCCCTAGAGCAGGGCTGAGTTTCACCCACAGACCTTAAGCTGCCCCCACCTCATTCTGCTTTGGATTCCAGGGCTCCAGTTCTCCCAGGGAGGAGTCATAACTTCTTGGAATTGTTCAACAATAGTTTCTTATGTTGCTAATATGTAGCTATGCACATGCTCACAGGGAAAAATCTGAAATCAGTCTTATTGACTTAACAATGTAGATCTCCCTCCCATTAAGTATATGGTTCTTCAGTGTACCTTAGTTCTGGATAATTATAAGTAACTTAACAAGGATTTTAAAAATTGTTGCTTCCCACTTCATGACTGCATTGCTGCCATTAGTACAACACCTGTGAGCTAAGCAGTAGGGAGGTTGGTTTTTTAAGCCTAGTCTTATTTTGATGAGAAATAGGTTCTCAAGAGAATCTTCTCTGAATCCTACTTCCAGGACACTGATAGGTGTGAGCCATTATTGATTTCCACAGCCTGCCAAGAGTATAATTGAGAAGTCTGAGTCTCTTGTCTCAAGAAGCCAAGCTTCTGATGTAGGCAAATAAAAGAAACTATGTTCTGAGTAGCTCATCATCATTAACAACCATAAGCCTTCCCTGGCTAATGGCTCTTCACATGTAAAGTGCCCTGCTGTGGAATCCAGGGTCTTCAAGTCCCTTGTCCTCAGGTTGTTTCCAGTCTATGAGATAAGAAGAACACTAAAATGGGAAAGAGCGTAGTAAATGGCAAGCATCAAGTAAAGCCCAGAAGGGCTAGAAGTTAACCTGAACACAACTCTGTCCTTGCTGCCAAGGCCTGGAGGTTAGCTTGGTGCTGACGCTCCCTGGTTGAGACTTTGATGTAAATGGCTCAACATGTCCTGGCCTCAGGGATTGGGGTTCCAGTTCTGCTGGGAGAGGGTGGGCAGGGCACCGAAAGTGGTAGACCTGAAGCTGCCTATGGGAAGCCAGCTGCTTAAACGAATCTTTGCTTGGCTTGCTGGTCCTTGGCTTTGATCTGGAGGCACTTTACCATGAGAGTTCTTCCTAGTCCTCCTGTGTCACTCGTGACAGGCTCCTCCCAGTTTGGTCCAGTTTCAAGGGAAATGAGCTGTTTGTCCAGTCACCATCTCTGGGCTGTGTAAACAAGCAGATAGGCAATTAGTGGCTGTGTCAGGGCCTTGGACTGCTGCTCTGCTTGCACAAATGGAGACTCATCACTCATCTTTTGGATTCTTGTCTTGCAAGCATGAGATAATAGGGACAGCTTGGCTTTCGAGATTTCTTCATGTTGTTTAGATTTTAGTCTTCGTGTCACAATCTTATTGTTCAAGCATTTTTGGCAACAGCCACTGCCATTCAGCTCATTTGGGAGAAAAAATTATAATTTGGAATCTGTCGCCTTGATTTTTTTCACATTAAACCATTTTTTAATGAACAGGAAGTAGGACCAAGGCATAGAGATCAGTAGGTAATATCTTTCCTTAATTAGCCAAATGCTGACAACAGAGGTCACCCAGTTGCAGGGTATTTTTGCCCTCCCCCTTCAAGGGGACATGTGTGTTGTGCACACAGGCTGGAGGCCAGGAGAGGACTGAGGCTGCCATCAGGCCCCACGGCTGCTGCTGTTTGTGTTTACTTGAGCATTTCACTGCGCCTGGTATGTTTTCCTCTTGGATCCAAAATGCTGAGAGGCTCCCCTCAAAGTGCCATTTGTCTCCTCTTGAGACACACAGAAATCAGGCTCCAGTCGCTCAGTACCCAGACTGTTCGGAGCGCAAGGCGATGGCCCTGTGTTTCCTTTGCTTTTTTTCCATACGTTGGCATCACCTCCTCTGATTGTTTTTCTTCCCTTCTGCTTTTAATTTTTTCTCTCTTACCTCAGTTTGAGCCTCTGCCTTCTTTCATAGCTTTCTGTTTTCTCTCAGCATCTCCTCTGCCCGCTTATGTTTTTGGTTTCTTGTGACTCGCTCTCCAGATTCCTTCATATTCCGGAATCACCATGTCTGGCCAGCATCGTTGTGAGCATGCTGCCCTTTTGTGGTTGTCGTTCATCCCTTTCCCTCTTGCCTTCATTCCTCCCCAAACCTTCCACCTCTGCCTCCTCAAACCTTTGAAGTTCTTCAGACTGGAACTATCTCTGGATCTTGCTGCATAGATAAGATAACAGCACCTGGGATCCTTTCAGCGTGAGCACTGTGGAAGTGATCATCCTTCTCCCATTTTGCCCTAGGATGGGCATTTTTTGTTGGGCAAGGAATTAACAGAGAGCACATCCCTCTGTCTGTAACCAATCACTACTATTCTTTTTCAGTTGTTTGTTAAGCACATATAGTAGATTACTTATAAATAAGACTCTGAGGAAAAAAAAAGAATGAATCAGACACGATTTTAGCCTCAAAGCCCCTATATATCTGACACAAAATCTTACTCTGCCTTTCAGGAGCATTAGATACAGCTGATCAAGTGATGGATTTAAAAACTCCTTGTCTTTGCTTTAGGCCCTACCCTCTTTTGTCTTCTCCCTATTTCATGGGTATTCCTCAATCTGGAATTGAGGTTCTGGTTCTTCATCTTTCCAATCTCTAAACACAAGTGGGCTTCAGGACTCAATCCATGAAGCCCTTGCCTTAGCACTGGGATTGCTGAGGCACCTAGAAACTTGAGACTTTATTGATCAAGCGTATAATAAATAGACTGAGGGAGACTCGGAAAGTTGCTGTTACTGGAGTTGGATTCACTGCTGCTGCCACCCCCAGTAGCCACCAGAATCTTTTTGTTGCTGCCACCTCCCAGATCCCTGCACCATGCCATCGGAAAAGACTTTCAAGCCGCACCACACCTCTGAACAAAGAGTAGATGTCCGACTTACCTGAGAGCAGCATCCATGCAAAACCCCAGTGGTAACAGAACAATACAAGGGGAAGAAGCAACTTCCTGTCCTGGATAAAATGATCTTTCTTATACCTTACCACAGCAACCTGAGTGAGCTCATCAAGATAATTAGAAAGTGCTTACCACTCAATGCTAATCAAACCTTCTTCCTGGTGGTGAACAGACACAGCATGGTGAGTGTTTTCACACCAATCTCAGAGGTATAGGAGAGTGAGAAGGATGAAGATAGATTCCTGTACACGGTCTATGCCTCCCAGGAGACATTTGGGTTGAAATTGTCAGTGTAAAACTAAAAAAAATGGATCTATTCTAGAATTTTTTAAACCCTTACCAACGGGGGAAAAAAAATGGGGGATGTTACCAACTGAGATCGTTCAGTTCATCTAATCACAGATCAAACAGTAGTGTTCCCACCTACCAGTGTCAGGAAGTTGGGTTTGTATTTCAGGCAGAAAAACTGGGCTCCCAGCGAGCACATTCAGCTTTGGAAACAATATTATTTAACAGGCTACCTTCTTTTCAGATTTTAAAAGTTTAAAAATAAGATACTTTGCATTCTTAAAAAAAAAAGAGTGACTGAGTGACTGTATGCTCAAGCAATGGGTGTGTCTTCTTGTTCTTCACCAAGCAAGGGGAAAGTTTTACGTTCATTTACATTTATTTTACAAGTTTGTAAGACATATACAACTTAGGGAGAAAAAATATGAAGGCCTCAGTTCTAGGGAGAAAGCATGCAGGCATTTGTAGTACTAAGACTAAAAGTTAGGGGAGAAAGAGTTGCTCAGGTAAAGCTAAGTTAGAATATGAATTACTGCTACTATAACTGACACTAAATAGAACCAGTGAAAAATGAGAAAATGTGAACTGTACTATCCTAAATAAATGTAAACTAAAATAACAATGTGGGCCAGGTGCAGTGGCTCATGCCTGTAGTCCCAGGACTTTGTGAGGCTAAGGTGGGAGGATCACTAGAGGCCAGGAGCTTAAGACAAGCTTGGGCAACATAGGGAGACCACATCCTACAAATTTTTTTTTTTTAATTAGCTGGGCATGGTAGCATGCACCTATAGTCCCTGGTACAGAGAGGGTGAGGTGGGATGAAAACTTGAGCCTGGAAGATTAAGGCTGCCATGAGCCATGATTGTGCCAGTTCACTCTGGCCTGGGTGACAGAGTGAGAACCTGTCTCAAAAAAAAAAAGAACAATAAGAAAGATAATGCATGAAAACCTCCTTCTTTTTTTCATGACTTTCAAGCTTCACTTTCTGCCTTCCCACTTTGTACCAGACAGACATTTACCACTGGGAATCTTCCTTGTCTGTGTCCCAAGGTCATCTGAACACCAAAGTTACACTTAAGAAAGGTTGTCAACTCAGAGGAACTGAAATAGAATTCCCATGGAGTTACCCATAACATCTATTTGAAAACAAACCCTTCCAAACCATCACATCGTGGAAATCACAGTCCATGATGAGAAAACTGCCAAGTTTTTGAGGTTGCAACTTAGAACACACACCAAAAAATGTGTCTTCATCTCCAAGTGTCTTTGGTTTGAAAATTGGGATAATAGAGCATCTGATTAAGCTTCCTCAAAGAATATCCAGTATTTTCCCCACTTCCGGTGACAGAAACCTGGTTGGTGGTCTAAGCCAAGAAGAAAAAGATGTTTCCGTTTGGAAGAGGAAAAAATCCTAAGTTTATTTTTTTAGAGCCATGATTTAGAAGAAATAACAAACAAAATAAGGGAAGCCTCTTATTTAAAATCAGTTTTCATTTTATCTGGATAGTCTGCTTTCCCTTGCTCATGAGTATCTGTGATTATGTGGTCAGGCCTGACATGTATCCCAGCCAGGCTGGGTGACATCCCTGTGCCCTGCCCTCTCCTCCAGCTCTTCCTCATGGGCTAGCAGCCTTGTGCTTTTAGGAAGAAAGGGACTGAATTTTCTGCTGTTGCTTCGCTTCCAAACAAACCCAACCTAATTCAAATTGACAAATTCTAACAAAGGTGATGCCTTCTTTCTGAGTGTGTCTAAAGCCACAAAGCCAACTGCATGACAGTTTGGGAATGGCAAAACTTTTAAAAGTTTTTGACATCATCATGTTAGCATTTTGAAGGGTTTAAATGAATAAAAGCCTTAGAGTCCTCTATGTGGTGAATATGAAGCACCCATTCCCAAATTAACCGAGGTGATCAGTGATGACTAGGGCTTGGCTTCTCCCCTTTAAACAGTGAGTCTGTTTTCAAGATCAGTTGAACTAAGAAAAAGATGAAAACGTGTTTGTTCAAAGAAAGGCCGTACCTAGATCACCTTTATTTGCTCACTTCTTGATGAGGCTGCCTTCTCTGGGGTAAAATGGCTGAAAATTATAACGGTGGGAGTAAAAGAGGGATATGAGAGGATGAGTTTCTGCCACATTTGAAGAACGGAAGAACTAGATGAATAGAGTTTGGGTGATGGCAGTTGGTTTCTTTGTAGGAACTATTAATAGTCTTGATTTAGGCTTGGACTTCTGCTTTTTGTCTTTTGTGTTTTATCTGTGTTTCTTTCCTCCTTGAGGCAGCTTGAATTGAAAGCGCAAGGGAACAGCGCTAACATATAGGGTGGAAACATATTTCTATGTAATTAAGGTCTTCCTCAATTTGCGACTACTGAGGACCAAGGGAGACCAAGTTCTGTTCCACACACCATGAGAGGAGTGTTGACTAAGAAGAGTTAGGCAGCTTTATCAGCTTGTTGGTCAAGGGACGTAGGATCCTGAGATAGATCAAATATCTTAGTTGATATTAACATAAATATAATTTTTAATATTTTTCTGAAGAACCAAAAAGAAGTTTAAGAAAAGAGTTTACCATCCAAGAGTTTAATTTGCTCTTCATCAGAGTATGACATGGCATGCTAGGATGCAGGAGCAACTAACCCAAGTTGGCGGAAGCAAATACAACTGCTTTAGAGATAAATGCTAGGAGGGTCTGAAAATCAGAAAAAAGATGGGAAGGGTCAGGGTGGAGATGATAAAGAGTGATCGTTCTCAAAATCCTGCTGCAGTGAGAAGTAGCTGCCTTTTAGTGTAAAGTCTGGGTTTGTGGAGGAACCCAAGAGAGTAAGAATGGAATCAGCAAATGCATATTTAGATGAATATGCCCACATTCCTTTGCCCTTTTGATTCCAGAAGCTGAAATTAAGGCTTTTAATATGTGTAAGCCCTTAGATCATTTGCTAAGAGTTTAGGGGAAGAAAAGCAGTTGGTTCATCTCTGGTATTTTCATATAGATTTCCTTTATAGAAGTTACTTATAAGTGGTGTTTTCAATGGAGACCTTCAAAAAAAGATGCTTGGATGTCTCATCAGGTTTCAGAGAAATGTTCAGATTTGTTAACCCTTTCAACTCAGATAAAAGTCCATTAAACCATGAAACAAAGTTCATTACACTTTTTGGCCAGGGACATGAGTGACAAACTGCTCCCTGGGACATTGCTCATCTCTTGTATGGACTAATTTCAGGACTTATTAGATGAAGGCAAGTCAGAAGGCTCACTTCCTCTGTGCTTGGATTCTGGAGATGTTTTGATGCTAGTTGGCCTTTTGTGGATCTTCTCCCTTATCAATAGAGGATACACCCCATTTCTCCAGATGAGTGCCTTATGAAACAGCTGTTGTTTCATAAGACATTCCCTTAACCCAAGGCCTTTCCTCCTTATCAGTTACACTAATTGAAGACCAAAACCATTTTCACCCCTCATTATGTCTTTTCTACTTATCCTCTTAAGAAAAGAATTACAGATTGGGATACTCTAGAAGTGGTAGCAGTTATTAGAGGAATGACATCCTAAAATATGACCATCAGAGACAAGAAGAAATTAGAAAGCTAGCATGCAATGGGCATTTAATAAACAACTGCAGGGGAGTGATGGTGGAAGAGAAGAGCAGAGCAGGGGAGGAGGAGAGAGAGGAAGAGTTGTAAAGTGGGGAATAGGAGCTAACACTGTAGAAGGAGGACAAAACTGGGGCCAAAAAGTCTATCCCTGGCTTTTCTCCCATTGACAAATATAAGACTGATGTTTACCCCACCTCCCACTTCTCACATAAAAACATTAGAAAGCAACATATTTAGATAACCCAAGGTCATAAAGGAGAGTTGAAATAGAAGCTTCAGCAAATAGACCCCACATCAGACCTTGAATCATCATCAATTCCAAACACTACCTGAGTCTTCATCTCAAAAAGCTCTTCCCTCTGCTTTGAAAAGACTCAAAGCATCATCTCAACAGCCAATACATTGAAACCCCTCTCCACACTGAAGCCATAGAAGAACAATAGTTCTTTTGCAAATTATAGCTTCCTCAGAAGAAATGTTGAGGCAGGCATGTATTATTTTATTTTATAAACCACAAAGAGGCAAACAACCCCTTAACTTGGAATTCAGAGTTAACAAAAGCATTAAATCCACTGGGCTTTGAGAGGGGGCAATAGTTTTTCATATGTCTTCTCTGCTACCATTATTTACATAACAAATCACTGCAAAATGCATTCATGTCAGATGTTGGAAATAAGCTCTTTGGGGCATAGATATTTTTAAACAACCCATAGTTATAGGGATGTTTTAAAAACATGCAAAGCCTGAGTTTGTGTTTCAAATCATAAGTAGTCACAGGAACTCTATATTGTTGGTTTGGTGCTGACCTATGGAACAGAGTCTGAAGTCCCTCAGAAGTGATGACGTTGTAAAAAGATACAAAAGTTCACCTTGGCTTTAGATTAAAGCCCTGTCTTTCAAGGCAGGTACACAGAAATCCCTGGTGCCAGTTTTTACCTACACTTTGGAGAGCATTGAACTTTCCTTGCAAATATGCAAAATACTTCCCCACCAAAAGATTTTATTTACTGACACCGGAAACAAGCATCCCCTCCCCACCCACATTCTTCATCCTTAAGAATCAGAAGTTAGTATTTTAAAAAAAAAAAAAAAAAAAAGGCTGCATTCTTTGAGATTATTTGCATGAGCGGATTATTTGCATCAGTCTCTGAGAGGTTATCTTCATAGTCTCTAGTCTACTTGTCCAAGCTTACTGATCCCACAAAATATTTTTCCTGCAGTCTAGGGAGTCTTGTGATTGCCTCCATGGACCTATGCAATACCAGCCTCCTCATCCCACGCACACTTTCCTCCTCTGCAGCCACTGCAAGCCCCGGCTCCTGGGGCTCCTTGAGCTTGGATTGCCAGCTCCACTTCCCGTGTTCTAGGCAAGCAACAAATACCCTTTAAAACCGCCATCAAGCCCCACCTGTTTTATAAAAACTTCCCAAGCTTCCATGACATTTATGCTATATTATTAACAACAGTGTTAGCTGGGTGCCTGTAGTTCCAGCTACTTGGGAACCTAAAGCAGGAGAATCACTTGAATCCAGGAGCTGGAGGTAGCACCATTGCACTCCAGCCTGGGTGATGTAGTGAGACCTTGTCTCAAAAAAAAAAAAAAAAGGAAAAATAGTCTCAGCTAACATTTATTTAATATTCTCAGCCAAGTTTGATATTAAGTAGTATCTCGTTTCTCATTAAAAAAAAAACCTTGAGGAAAGCACTATTATTATCTCCATTTCACGAAGGATGGGAGAAAATTGAACTCAGATGGGCTAGATCTATGTGATTTAAAGTACGACCTCAATGAAGTCAGGTTAAGAATCCGGCATGGGGGTTTGATGGCGTGGACTAGAGTGGTTGAGTAAGGGGAGGGAGGTGATAGAGGTGAGAAGTATTTAGAAGGTACAACGCACTAGACTTCTTGGTGGCTTAGATCCTGCCTTCCAGATCTGAAAGGTTACACCTAATGCTGTCTTTAGATGTTATTTGCACTACCTGAGTACTCTGGGGCCCTGGCTGCTCTTACCCCTAAATGATCTCCACCTTCTTTCATATCTGACTTCATATGACAGTGTCTCCTCAGACAAGGGGGGCTTTTCTTACATATACTCCTGGGAAAATTAGGTTTCCACTCTTAATATAACTTCTTTTTTTGTTACCTCTGTGGCACTTCTCTCAGTTTTTAAATATTTAAGAAATTACTTAGCTGATAAGAAAGGGAAGGTGTGTCTATTCATTTACTTTATTAATAGTATTCTCCTTACTTGGTTTGCAGTGGTGCTCAGTGAAAAACAGGTTGAATTTGTCCAAAAACAGACGGGAGAATTTAAAGGAGTTCCTCCTCATTTAGATTCTAAATGGAATGAAATTCCATCATAAATGGAGATTCATCTAGAGGTGAAAACAGGATTTAAACAGGAGAATTAAATTATTTCAACCACTGTCTCATCAAAACAACAACTCCAAAAATGTGATCTGGAGGGAAAAACAATCAACAAACTAATGAATAGAAGACAGTGAGTCAGGGGTGGCTCCCTTATAATAAGGGCGATTATTTTTTAAACTCTGTCTTTATCTAATGGTCAGTGGCACTCAGTTAAATGGCCAGACACAAGAATCAGAAGATTTGAATCTCTTGTCACTTGTTAATCCATATCCATAACTTTATTTACTTTTTTTATACTTTATGTTTGGTCTTTGGCCTTCCAGATCCCCCAAATTTTGGATAACCTGCATGTGAGATGATCCTGTATTACAACTCAGAGAAGTGAATTTCCCTTCACTAGTCCATTTGCTTTTAAAAATGAAGAAGACATTAAAAATGAGTTGCAGATAAATGTAATGCATATTTAGTTATTTTGCTTTCTCAGTCAGCATAAGGTCTCTACATAATGACAAAATTTCCATTCAGTACCTCCTAACTCTGCCACTTCGGAGAAATGTGTCCCCCTTCATTTCTATGTGGGTATTTGTCTAAATCTTGTCTTTCTTCCCACCACTGAGGTCTCACACCTTAGAGAGTTCTATATAGATATACAACATGGTTATATATGCCCGCAACAAAATAGTTGTAACTATTTTCATCACTCACGAATCTTGGCCTTTTAACAGATAAAAGAGTGATTTCATGGATTGGCGGGAGTCAGAATCATTGCTTTTGTATGCTGAGACAATATGTCCAGTCTATATCAATGCCAAATAAGGTATCTTGGAATGTTATTGCATACATATGCTTTCAGTTCATGCAATATAGACACAGAGAACCAATTTTAGGAAACTGGTCTCAAAGGAAGGCATGGGTTGTTGATTTGATGCCCACCATTCTACTCCAGCAGCCAAATATGGAACTCTTAATATTAATGTAAATGTAAATTGGAGGAAATTTCAGTCTTTGAAAACTATCCTTCACCCCGCTATCCTGGGGCCTGTGTTATTCACCAGCTAGAAACACTAGCAGCTGGGAGTAGAAGATGGCTTGCCTTGACCTCCTGGTTGCATCTAAATAGCTGTAAGTTTGACAGAACTTTTGCCAGAGCGTGTGTTTTTAACATAGTAAGAATTGGTCTCATAAATTGTTGTGTCATCTTAGATATTGCATGACAAATTTTTGTTATTGGGTATTTGCCTAGTTATATCGATATTAACTAGAGTAGACCTTGTGGAAGCAGAGAAGGCAGTTTTGCTTCACTTTGGCTGGAGTTTTGCTACCCAATTGGAGTTCTTACGCATTGCATTTTGAATCTGTGACCAAGCCTGCCCTTGCTCCAAGTAAGCAAATGTTAGCATTCTTGCCATCCACCAGTGTCTTTCCTCTATGGGATTACAAAACATTTTGTGTATAGCACATGTATAAAGATGCCAGCAGATAAAGAGTTTTGCCTTAGGTCATCTACCAGGTAATACTATATCTTACCTACTGATCTCCCTGTTCACGGAGAAGAATTTTGAAATCCTTAAGTAAAAGACATTGAAACTACTAATGTGTTCTTTTGCTGTATCCATATTTCTAGTAGTCAGAATGCATGCTTTCTATTCCCAGTAATTTTATTACGTTACTAAAAAATTATGATTTGTTTACGAGGGAACACGAGCCAAGTGGTATGGCTAAATCACTCCTTTTGTCTGAGTCGTGACAATATTTTCACCATAAATGTTTATCTTTCATCCTCAGGGGAGATAAGTATCCTCTTTTTTGAATCATCCTCTACAGAGTGCCATAGATGCAAAGCAGTACTGTTATCCAAATTGTTAGCTCTTACAGACAAGCTAGACTCTATTCACTGTTACAAAAACCTAGTGAGAAAAAACAATGCCACATGATAAAGAATTATAAAATCATTTTAATTAGCTCCATTAATTAGGAAAATGGAATTTCTCTTTGTGTGACTTTGAGTAATTAGAATTTACCAAATTTAGAAGAAATTCAGACTTTCTGCACTATAGAAAGGATGAACCATATTGAGCTTATCATTCTGCATCGTAATTTTTAATATCTATTCATGCTGATACATATGGATCTAATTACTTTTTTTTTGAGACAGAATCTCACTCTGTCATCCAGGCTGGAGTGCCGTGGTGCAATCTCAGCTCACTGCAACATCCATCTCCTGTGTTCAAGCAATTCTCCTGCTTCTGCCTCCCACGTAGCTGGGATTACAGGTGCCTGGCACCATGCCTGGCTAATTTTTGTGTTTTACTATGTTGGCAAAGCTGGTCTCAAACTCCCGACCTCAAGTGATCTGCCCGCCTCAGCCTCTCAAAGAACTGGGATTACAAGCGTGAGCCACCGCACCCGGCCTGGATCTAATTACTTTTAACCACTATGAGTTATCCAGTTGTGGGAATAAGCCAAGCTTTTCTTTATCTACCTCTTTCTCTTCCTGCTCTTAAGTTAGTCACATCATTTTGGACCTCTACTATAAAGGAGAGCCAGCAATCTGTGTAGGCTTTCTTCTTCATTAGATTGTTAAAAAGATGAACAAGACAATAATGTGAAATAATTAGAATTCTTCTGTTAGAAGGTGCTACAAACATGAAAGCTAATGCTATTTTCTTATATGTTATGATTTCCATCTAAAAGGACAGGATTCCGTTATCATTTTTTGTTTTATTTAAATGAATAGTAGGTAAGAATTCATTTGTTAAAGTGATAGGAATGTCAAATTAGACAAATGTGATTAGCTGGGCATTAACGCCACAAACTCAGCCCAAGATAATGTTGCCAAGACCCAAAGACCATCACGTTGTTGCTCATAAATGACAGTTTAAGCTGGTGAGTGGCTGAGGTCCAGCATTCTCCTTGGTTCCTAGATGGACAATAAAGCTGCTTCGACCATAATTTTCCATCTTTCTTCTTGGAAAGAGTGACTGGAAGCCACTCAGTAAAGTGAACCTTGGAAATAAGACTTCTGTCTCACACCATCTGTTCATGAAAGGGAGCTATAAAAATAAACACATAGGCAGAAGCTAATGGAGACGTGGCAACAGGCCTGAAGAAATGCCATCCCTGGATCCCCTCCTCTAATACTCTTTTAGTTCTACTTAGTTTCAGAACACAGTGAATGCATCAGTTGTAGGCAAATGTGTTTGTTTTATGAGCTTGTTTATCTGGAAGGTAGCTGAAGGAGGTAAGAATGAGAGCGGCTTTGGAAAGAGCCAGCACTAGGAAAACGGGGAAACACATAGCATCTTAGCTGTGGAAATGCTATTCTGTTATCTGGAAGCCACCTGGAATATTGTAATATTGTGGGATCACCTAGTGTTCTAATAGAAGGTGGGTCTCTCTTAGTTCCTACATAAAAACTCCAAAGTAAACTCCTAGGTGGGTGTGACTTAAGAATGGAGCAAAGCATTAGCATTAAATGGCAAGCAGTCTGGATTGAACATAGATGTAGAGAGACTCCCTTGTTTTTAATCACTGCTTTCCTGGTTTCTCATTAAATTGGTCTGCGCTTCCCTGGGATCCTTTGATTGTATTTCTGCTCTCTTTTCACTAAATCTTCCTTTAATTTCCTTTGGTTTGATCTGATGACATTAACTCTTTCCCTCAGTTTCTTGGCATACCCTTTCGGCTTGTTTCCTCTTTCTTAAATCTCAGGGCAACATTTTTCACTCAGGGAATTCAGTGTCAGTGTCTTTCACAACACCTTTGCTGCTGGCCTGTAGCCTCTCAGGCTGCACTAAGCAGGGCCCTGGGGAGTCTTCCACTCTCCTTGGAAAGCTGCTTCTCTGTGGGCTGTGGAACACTTGACCTCATTTGTCTCCCCACCACCCTTGTGAAAGAAGCAGCCGTTAGGCCCTCTTGACATATGTGGGAAGCAGTATTCTGAGAGACACTCCAGGGACCACACTGCTAAGTCAGTGATAGATTTCGACATCCAGAGGGAGGGTCAGCTCCCTTGAGTCCCACTTTGAATGATTTCTAACTACTATTCCCATCATTCAAGTTTTGTTATCCAAACAGACCCTATATGAAATTGGCTGTTATTATTAGCAATGCTGTTGTTGTTTGACCTCTCAAAACTACTTACTCTAAACAACATCTCCCACAGTGATTTTATATGTGATGTCTAATACAATTAGGGAAAAAGGTTACTGAGTACCTAACTTAACCATTCATTGTTTACGAGTAGTCCCACAGTGTGTCAGATATTGTGCTGAGCAGACAAGAGATGGTCTTCTGGCTTAAAGATCTCACAACGTAGTCAGGAGAGTCAGTCCTAAACAGATGACTTTGTAATAGGGGAACTACAGTGAAAAGGATAATAGAGAAATTCAGCCCATTTTTGAGAGCCTACAGTGTGTCAGGTACTGTGCGAAGCACAGTTTATATAGTCATAAACAGGACAGATAAACTTTTAATTAGCAAGAGCAAGAGACAAAAGAGCAAATAAGTAACCCATTGTATAATTACAAATTGTGGAAAGTTTAGGTTTGGCTGAAGAGGGCTGCTATTAAGAAACCTACTTTAAAAGAGTAGGGAGAGTAGAGCAGTGATGACTTTTAAGTCTGGGAAGGAGCCAGTTACATGAAGCACAGAAGAAAAACATCGTAAGCAGAAAGAACACTGACTGGCAGCCCTGAGGCAGCTGACAGCTTGGCATACTGAGAGATTAAGATGAGCAAATACAACTGGAAGTAGGGCAAGCCACCTAGGGAGGGTCCTGAAGATAATGAGACAGAATTTGGATTTTATTCCACAGGGAGCCTTAAAAGAATTTGTAAAATGAAAGTAACCTAACTACATTCATGTTTTAAAAGGTTATCCTGGTTGCTGTGTAGACAAATAAATGCAAAGGGGCAAGAGTAGATAAGGAAGTTATTGAAGTAGTTCAGGTGGAAAATGAGCATCTTGGACCAGGCTGGTGGAAATTGATATGGAAAAGTATAGGTGAATTCAAGACTATTTTTCAAATAGAAAAGACAGGAATTGGATTTAAACATAGGAGTTGTGCTAAAGGAGGAGCCAAAAAATAATTCCCAGGTTTTGATCATCTTAGTGAATGCCGATGCCATTTACTGAGGTGACTAAGACAATGAAAGGAACAAGTTTGTGTTATTATGGGGAAATCAGGAAATAATTTGAATTCCCAGACAGGTGTTTATGTCAGAATATCCAGCAGGACAGAAAAAATGCAAATTTGATATTGAGAATATAATTTGGAGTTGATTATATAGATTTGAGATTTATCAGCAGAACAAGAGTAGCTGAATTTATAGCTAATTATAAAAGAGAGGGTTGGGCACAGTGCCTCACCCCTGTGGTCCCAGCTACTCAGGAGGCTGAGTTGGGAGGATCGCTTGAGCCTAGGAATTGAAGGCTGCAGTGAGCCTTGATTGTACCACTGTGCTCCAGCCTGGGTGACAGAGTGAGATCCTGTCTCTTAAAAGATAGAAAAGAGTAGAGAGAGATTGCTCAAGAGAGCCAGAGCGCCTTGGAGTCTGAATATATTTAGGAGAAAGAAGAAGAGCCAGTGGAGGAAACAGAGCAAGTAATCAGAATGGTTAAGATAATTGACCAGTGTTGAACATGAATCTACCTGACTTGCCACTGATAAGTATTTTTTTCTTTCAAATAAAATTTTAAAATACTGTTTCTGAAAATATTAAAAAAACTATCAAGCATTACCTATGTGTAATCTGTCAAACTTATGTGGACATTTATCCACTCTGAGATAAGCATGGACTAAGAGGACTTTGTAAGAATCTGAGCCTCTGAAAACCATGGCTGGGCTCCACAATGCAGCCCAGGTGGAACTTGGCTTTCATGGTGTGAAGGAAATGAGACATGTTTTTTAAATGATGCTCATGGTTATTAAATAACATGATTACTAGTAATGTGAGCAAAGATTTTTAAAAATTACTTTCCCACCTATCCCCTCCCACAGGGGGACACTACAGTATCTGTTGTTGATGGTATTGCTGCCATCCCCAAGTCCATGTTTCAACTGTGTGTGGCTTCCAGCACTTCAATGAAATCTTATTTAGTCACAGATGCCATTTTATAGAACTGTAAAGAAGGGAGCACATGGCTTTTGACAGGGATACACTGTTCCAAATTGGCCTTCCCTATTTTTGCAGTAAGATATTACAGCTCCAGGCTTCATGCTTTCCCCCTTATAAGTTCAGAGAAGCCCATTCTGTGAAGAATACTTTTCGAATATGAAAGTTACCCATAAAGCATTCTGGACCATGGGTGTGACCAGATCTCCAACATGAGTTGGAATAGGTTTCAGGGGCTTTGTTCCCACATAGTACCTTTAAAATAGGTATTTTAAAAATGTTATTATACCACCATGTCATTATTTATGATAATAGTAAAATTGCTATTTTGGCTTTTGTTTGTTTTAAAGTCTAAAAAATGCTCAAAACATGTAAGAACTATCTTATAGAATCTATGGGAGAAGAAACTTAAAACTTTGAATTTTAAAATTTAAGCAGTTTTCTTGGAATGACAGCATTTGTGTGAATTTTCTTATTCTGCAGAGATGACTTCTTTGGGCATACCTTGGTGTAGGCAATAACAACAGAAACTGTCTGTCTCTGAGATAGGCCATGAATGGGCTCTTGGGTGGCAGAGACAGAGCAGTGCCTTGGGTAGTTAGCGGTATTTCAGGATACGAATGAGTACCCTGCCTTGTAGAACATTCTGCCCTCCTCTATTCTTCCCAAAATAGGTAGAATAGCTCTTGTACCCAATGGTGAGACTCAACTATAAAGACTGGTTCACTATCCAGAATCAACAACTGAGGAGAGCCAAAAAACTCAACAAACAGGAGAACTTACACCTGAGAAAACACGCTTGCAGAGAGATCAGATTTTCAGAACATGTGTGTTTTCTAATCTCAGAACTATAAGATAGTCACCTTCATAAAAAAAATCCAGTGGAGAATATAGAAATTAAAATTTGAATTGATGAAATGTTTTTTAAAAGAGAGTAAGAAGTAAAGAAATAACGCAAGATTACTTCCCAGAAATGAAAAGACTTGCATCTTTTATTTAAAGTGCCAACAAAGACAATGAAAAATAAATGCACACATATAGACACCCTTAATTCTTTGTAACTAACCTTGAGAAATCAAGGAGTTAGAAAAATACTGAGATAGACAACAAACTAATCAGCAGCAACACTGGATACAGGACAAAAATGGAGCAGTAAGTGTAAAATTCTGAGGGGGGAAAAAATCAGAACCTAGAATTGTAAATTTAACCAACCTGTTATTAAAGTAAATGAGAAAAGTAAATTCTTTTGAGAAATGCAAAGCCTGGAAAGATTACTACTCGTTGATTTTTTTCCCCCTCTCTGAGACAGAGCCTCTCTTGGTCTCTCTCATCAGGCTGGAGTGCAGTGGTGGGATCTCTGTTCACTGCAACCTCTGCCTCCTGGGTTCAAGCAATTCTTCTGCCTCAGCCTCCTGAGTAGCTGCAATTACAGGTGCATGCCACCACACCTGGCTAATTTTTGTGTTTTTAGTAGAGACGCGGTTTCACCATGTTGGCCAGGCTGGTCTCGAACTCCTAACCTCAGGCGATTCACCCGTCTTGGCTTCCCAAAGTGCTGGGATTAGAGGCATCTCAGAGATCTCTTGAAGTTGTACTTCTCCAAGTTGAAAATGAATCTAGGAAGAAGTGGAGTAGCAACAGGTATAATGAGCAAAGGAATGTATAAAATAATGGGTAAGGCATTATTAATAAAATATGAAGTATTTGTATTTGAATATCTGAAAATAAAATTGCAGATGATCAAAATAGGTTGAGGCATTGGATTTGACCATAGAATTTAGGAGGAGGATGAAAGGAAAAGCAAGCCACCCTTATATTGTTCCAGGTTAGAGTATTGAGAGATAATTAGGGATAGATAACTTAAAATCACAGGTGTAATGGGTGTTAAGATTTAAGTATTTACTAGTCAAAAAGTTAGAATTTATCATGTTCAGACCATTAAAGGAAAAATAAAGCAAAGACAGTTTGGTGAATCCAACAAAAATTAGGAAAAGGTGAAAAAGTAAACAGCCAGCAAGCTTGGTGAAGAAAAGCACACAATAAATATGAGGATTAATTCAAATTTACTCATAATCAAAATAAACACAAATGGACCAGCTTTACCCAGGCAGCTGAAAGGAAAAAAAAATGACTCATTTAAAACAGAGGGCAAGACAATCTGCCACTAGTTGGATACTCTGATTATCTCTTAGAAAATCTATGATATTTGAACAGTATTTATCAATCTTCAACAGCAACAAAAAAAGCTGCCTCACACAATTTCAAGTAATAATCTACATGTAAAAGTACAAAAGCAAAACCAAAAATATAAACAGTATTATAAGAAAATACAAGACCTCCTTATTACCTTGGGAGTAAAAAGGATCTTCTTGCAAATGATTTAAGAAGCAAAAGGCATGAAGAGAATATTTATGAATATGACTTTCAGATTTAAATTTTAAAATGATAAACATTGTAAACCAATAGGCAAGCAAAAGCATGGGAAAATATATTTGCAAAATATTTAACCAAGGGTTTATACCAAAATCTGTATGATTTACAAAATTTTAAAAGTTTGACAACAACAATTATCAGCCCCTAGTACTATTAAATTATACTATCATTATGGAGGACTATTTGACAGTCTCAAATAAATTAAAACTATGTCTACCTGATATGCTAACAAATCTGCTTCTTTATGTCTCTCTTAAACCTTGCATGTTTGCACGGGGACACTTAGAAGTTCTGGAAAGATAAATCCAAAAATGATAACAGTATTTGAGTTGTGGAAGATAGCTATGTATATGTGTGTTGGGGAAGACAGAGGATGTGATGCAGAGGGCTATCAGGGGGACTTTATCTGTAATGTTTCACATTTTTATAAGGAGAATCTATATTACCTAAATTAGTTAAGGATTAATTTTCCAAAATATTTAAGAGTGGAAGATTTATTTTCAGTTTTACAACAGTTAGCATTAAAGCCTCTCTGCAGTGAAAAGAGAAAGTAGCCTGTTAATGCGTAGTTTCAGTTTGAGCCCACAGTTTACGTAATCACGAATCTTAGTTTAGTTCTTACAATAGAGTTTTTAGATGAGAAGTTTATACATGTCCTTCACGTTGTATTGATGGCTTTGGTTGGAAGTTTTCTGTATTTATCTTTAGTCATATCAATTTTAAATGTTTAAATATCTGTAATTATTTTGTTTAATACTGATGTAGTTGGACTTATGATTCAGTCCACCATTTCAGATGGTGTCTTAAAAAGCACATCAAAGGCAGATTACTCTCTCCAGTCCTCTTTCCATTATGCAGACAATGGTAGGTAATGCATTTACATTTTTAATTTTATTATATAAATGGCATTAAACCCTAAAATAATTGCCAATAATATCAGCATTGTTTCACTGAGCTTTTATATGTGACTATGAGTCATTTTTCCTCATCAAAATGAGAAGTTTTTTCTTTTTTTTTTTTTTTCCCAAGTTAAGTCCTAAATGCCCAACTTTTGACCATATATTTCTTCTGCTTTGGAATTTTTTTTTCTATCAGTCATTATATTTCTTTAGGAAACTTCTTTAAATTTTTTTAAGGGAAGGAACAAAGCTAGCAAAGAAACAGATGTGTCCCATATAAAATATGCAATAAATCTTGTCTCACAAATTCTTTGCTCTGAACTTTCTGACAGAAACTGTCAAATATCCACTTTAATTCAGGTATAAAATGTTCACTCCATGTCATGGCGCCAACCACCATATGCCAGAATAAAGTTAGTGACCAGCCATAAAAACAGCAGCATAAGCACCTTTGAAACGGTACAATTCATCGTGGGTGAGAACGACCCATATAAATCCATGGGGAATTAATCTTGGCTTTGCTACTATCCTGCTGTGCATTTACAACAAGCTTCTACTCCCACACAGCAGAAGTAGTAATACTTTTTAAAAGGAGAGGGGAAAATAAGAGAGCCGTGTGTCCACCTAATGAGCTTGTTGGTTGGGGGAAGGGAGTTGCATGGATCAGAAAGCAGTAGGTTTTCCTCCCCCTCCTTGGAGCTCTGGAATTCCCTTGAAGAGGCAGAGCTAAGCCTCAATTGAACATGTGGGGTTCTTCTTCAGCTTGCCTTGCCTGCCTTAGTAGATCATGTGAAACCAATCTCCCCAAAGTGCAATAGAAAGAAATGACTTCAGCTTCATAAATCATTGTTATCATCCCACAGGAGGAGGTAATGCTATGGTTTTTCTCCAGTAAAACATTTCAAGCCTCTGGTTTCATGAATTTTTTTTTTCCTTTCTGAAATCAGATTCATGCCACTTGTACAATTAGCTTCAGGCTCCTGCCTACAGGAGATGGTGGCACTTCTCCAATTTACTTAATATTTGAACATTTCACTCTCAGATTTCGAGGGAAATCTGTTTCCTACAGAACACGTGCCTGTGTGTGTGGCTTGTCATATAGACAAAGGCTTCATATTTTCTTCTAATATACTGATCCTCAATATTTTTTGCATTAAGAATATTTTCTTTATACTGTATTTTTCAAATAGAGAATAAGTATTACATATTAGGTTTAAGCACAGGATAAAGAAATCTCAACTTACTTTACAGTATTAGACACTATTTTAAAATGCACTCATAGCCATGTAAAGCATTTCTCTAAGGCACAAAAATAGGAAGACTAAAGAGTGAAGCAATAGATTATATCCTAGTTAAATCAAAAGAAAAATCTGTCTTAATTCTATTTGGTAATGTTTTAATAATTCTTCGTAAACATTTATATCCTACAAGGTCTCATTTAGGAAGTACTGTCAAAAAATTATTTTGAAATACTATCATGAGTTTCTAGAAAATGTTTTGTTTGAATAAGTTTCATACTTACTTTGAAATAAAGCCTAATTTTTCAACTGTTTTTAATAATTATAAATTTAAATATAAATTATAAAAGTATTTAAAAGTTGACCTATACCTACACCTTTATGTTAAATAAAAAGCAAGGGATAAAACCAAAAAGCAAGAAAGGACATTATATTCAGTAAATTTCAACTATATAACAAAGCACAAATGAATGATTATAAATATATACTTTTATGAAATGAATCAACATATTAATAGTGCTATTAGAGAGAGTCTTAGCACTATTTTTATTTTCTTATTTATATCTTTCTCCAATGTCCAAATGTTCTACAATGAGGATTACTTATAAAAGCTAGGGAAAATACAAAGGTTTGTTAAAAAGCAGGGAAAAAGTGACCAACTGTAACATTCATTTTTATTGAATGTGTTGTTAAATTGTTACCATATCACTGTGTTTATTCAGTGTTTGTACAGACTTTTCTTTAACAAAAGCTTTTTCTCTGAGGATAACAGTTATTATTGAAAGGTGATTCTGGAGGAGTCCACATGGAATTCTGTTCAATTCACTCTCAGCACTTTCACCTGGACTTAAAAGCAGTGTGGTCACTAAAAACCAAGCCTCATTTTTTTGTTTCCTTTTACGGGCTCTGACAATGATCACTTGTGCTAAGGGTTCTTCCCATATCTTCTATTGGTGGAACAGATGAAATGTGCTTTAACATGGAAAATATCTTCTGCAGCATCTTCTTTGGGAATCCCAGTTCTCTCAGCATTTTTTTTTCCTAGAAGTATCACCCAAGAGAGATTATGACCTCCATCACTCCCAGATATTTGGTAACATCAGCTCTTGAAGTTGTAATGGTAATTCTTTGGACCTGTTTCTAGTGGACCAGTTTTAAACCCCCAGCTATGACAATCCTTGACCAAATGAAAGAAAAGTGGGTTAAAACATAATTTAATGTTTCAAGCAATAGCCAATATTGGGGAAGTTAGACTTTTGTCAGTTTCTATGGCCCTGTAAATTCAGTTTCCTAAGTACATTTAGCCTTTGCCAGGGTTTCAAAAGATTGATTTAAGGATAGCAATGGCTATTTCATGATTACTTACAAGATGTTTTGGTAGTCTATTCATTTTGATGACTAAACATTTCAACAATTATTTTTCTAGATGGAGAGCTTCAACTATTTAACAAATGTGTTAAGCTACACAGATGTCAGAGGTTTAATATAAATAGATCTAGAAGAATAAGAAATTTTCTTTGTCAAGGTATGATGCTGTATATTGTAAATCATGTATAAGTATGGCTTCTT